TTCAGATCACTTACAGAAAGCCCGTGGTCTTTCGCCAGCTCCGGTCTGTTCTGGATCATATCTTTCTTGCCTCTCACGGTCCATAAGAGCTAATTCCTCCTCCGTGTACTCGGGTTCAAACAGATATGGCTCTGGCCTGGGTCTTCTACAAAGAAGTCATAATCATCTACAAAGTCCGCCATTGCAAATGATCTGCAGTTTGCTAATAGCACAGGTAGTAAAAGTCACGTTGGTTGTATTGACGGAAATGTCAGAGGGAGGGGGAGAGGAAGCGGGAGCCGGTAAGAGGACTTTTCACAAGTGAAGATATTATTGCGCCAAGTCGAAGTGCTCAAAAGCACTTGTTATGGTATTCCGCCATACAATATAGTCATCAATTTTAAACGCTTAGAAAAGCGCAACGGTTTATTTTGTGTCACCAGCCCAGGTCAAGTTACACTACTCGAGTAACTGTGTTTACATAGGGAAAACGTGGAAGTGTTTGGTCGCTTCTCTGCTTGGCCCATATTTAATGCATGGGCTAAGCTAAGTGCTAACATAGTTTTGCGGCAATACAGAGCTATATAGTGCACGCACGGAGACGAGAGAGGTATGTATCAACTCGTCTTAGTTAAGGGAATAACATAGTTTAATAAGAAAAACTGGTGGAGTATCCCTTTAAGTGATGTACTACATTTAAAACAGCATTGTCAGGCTTGCTCTGTTTTGCAACGAAATATGGCTTTGAACGAATCGTGAGATTCAATGAATGAATGACTCAAAGACTCACTCATAAAGATAGTGAGGTTCTGCCACCTACTGGCGATTTTAATGTTTTTTAACATTGCAAATTTAATGAACATTGTTTTATTTAAAGCATTATTATTATTATTATTTTTTAAGGTATTACAAAGGAAAAAAATGAAATGGAAAAATGTATTAAAGGGGGCAAATCTTGTCCCTTAATAGAAAAGGTGTGACTGCACCAGTGGTACGGCACTCTAAAACATTGGAGAACCAAATTATGTAGAGCTGCACAAGTGCTACTGCTAAAGAGTGCAATGTCAATAATTTATCATAAGCTTAATTGAATTGGCCTAGAGAGAATAATTATTATGACATTTTCTGTCTAAAGACTACATATAAAATAACTACATGTAAAGTAACTGCAGTTTGACTAAAAGTTGACAAAAAATGCAAAGACTTTTCGTCAACTACAACTATAAAAAACAGGATGACTCAAATGTGATTAAGACCAATAAGCATTTTCGTAAATCAAAAATGGCTGCCAAAATTAACACTGGCCTACATACACGTGCGCGCTACAATGCTGTTGCGTATGTATTAAATATGACTGATAATTTAAGTAAAATGTTTTATTTAATTCAAGTAGCCTTGTACATAATTAGTTTCTAGGGTTTAAAATGTATACAGATTTGACATTTTCCCCTCATACTTCTGTCGGAATGGGTACGAAGTTGGCATTGAATTTCATTTGAAATGGTATTAAAAAGGTCTTAAAAAGCCTTGAATTTAAGTTGGAGGATCCTGGGGGTACCCTGCTGTCGATCTCACTTTATGTAACTTCTCCACCAGGTACCATGTGGTCGTGCAGGAGACTAACGAGGAGCAGCGCATGGTGAACAAGAATCTGACTGAAATCTTCTCTTATGCTGCAGACCACTTAGTTACAGTTGAAGTATGTGATGATTTTTGCCTACAATTCTTGACTTGATATGTTCTACATGAGGTTGAACATTTTGCAACTACAACTTTCCAGATACAGTTCTTAAAAAAAGCTATATGTATCTGAATTATACCATGGTTTGTCTGAATACTCGATTCTAATTGGCTGGAAGGTGTCTATTGAAGTTCCGATTACCCAAAGAATGATAACTATAAAAGTACCTATATTATCATCCACACCAACGAACAATAATGTTCTGTTTATTAGTAGGGCATGCTGCAGTTCTGCTGCATTAAAGGCTCGAGATCTGTAACGTCAGGTGGATTCTGATTGGCTGTTGATGATTTTTATCATTCATCATCTGGAAAACATTATTCTAAAAGTGATTCCAACGATCGTTGTAGTTGTTGTGTGGACTTCCCTATTCTAATAGTTATCATCCTTGGTGTGAACAACCCTTAAAACAGTTAGTCCTAGTCAAAATGTATGTGCTGTATTCATTGAAGCACACATACAGAAATCTGTCAACGCTGCCTGCTACTTTTATTAATAAAATAGCATTGCTTACTCTAAGATATTAAACTCATTTATTTTCCAATCTTAACGTACTACTTCTCTGATTTAAATCTGGCAGATTGCTTAAGCAAGTGACCTGTTGCCAAAATAACTCACAATTTGTTTTGGCTGTCTACCAATCAAATTTTGTGCTGCAAACATTGACTGCTTTGACTTGTCAGTGCTGGCAAGTGGCCATGATATAATCGGGATAATCGATGACTAGGTGTGCATTACTTGATTTTATTTGACTCCATGAAGATTCTTTGCTGCCATGTCAAGGATTAAAATTGCTTAATGCACACCCAGCCCTGTATTATTCCTTATATATTCTTTACATCTGTAGTTCAAAAGGTTATATGACCAGGTTTGTGTAGATTCTACCTGTAAGCAAAAAAAAAAAGATGTATATATATTTTTTTGTCTCTTTAGAAACACTGCAACGAGCAGCTGAAAAAGTTTGATAAGATGAAGGAAGTCATCCGTGAAGACGAGGCTGACATGAAACAGCTGATGGATCTAGTGGAAAACTTCATGAAGAAAGCGAACAGCTTGTAATGTCTTAATAGTTTTGATTTGTAAATAGTTTTACTGTTTACTTTTTCTTTTTTTTTACTGATGTTTGATTCTGGCACCATGGAGTAATGTTGGAGTAAAGACAATGTCTTTGGAGACTGAATCATACTTTGTGTATTTATCCTGTATTTACATGTTTGTTTACTAAAAAAATAAAGTTTTTTTGTGCTAGTTTGTTTACACTGCTTACATAGGTCCTTAAAGTAACATTTTTTTATTTGTATTTTTATTTAGTTTTTATTTATAATTCATCTGTCTGAATAAAACATTTCACTTCACATTATGTGGAGGAAAAATCTTCTAGTTTGTTAATAGGATTTAGATCAGATGTTAGCAAATAAAAAGTCACCTATATATCAAACCAGAATCAGATGTAATTTAATTGTCCTTGAGAAATTTCACATTTGTGGGAAAAGTACATTTTATATTTGTACATTAGCTAGAGTGTAATTCTATGGCAAATTGTTTAGATTTGTCTTTGGAAAATACTGCTATAGCTTGTTGGATGCCATATGCCACAATACAATGCATTTAGCTTGACGTTATTGTTCCATGTGGTCCAGAGGTAATACCATACCAACTGTGATTTTAACTCTTTCCCTTCCATTGACGGAATATTCTGTGTTTCCACTGTTATACATTAGGGGGCGCTATGACACATCTTATGCAAATCACGCGATCATTAGGGGTGTTGATCATAGACAGGTGTTGATGGACTCGATCTACTCCATCTTTGTTTTGATCATCGTTCTGAATATGGCAGATCGACTTTTGACAGAAACGCGATTTTCTCAGCTTTTTTCTCAAATTATTATTATTATTTTAATGAAACTTGCTCACATTCAAGAGTTGATTTCAAAAGAATGCAGTTTTTGTTTTAAAGCAGAGATTCTGTTCTTTCCTTTGACATATTGCATGTTCAGAAATTCATACAACAAAATATTCTGGAGGCCATGACATGTTTGTGAAAATGATCAAAAACACTGGCGGTGGCTGGCAACTTTAAAAAAAATAGTTTGCAAAAGGTTAAGACATATATATCCAAAATTGAATAAAAAATGCAAAAAGTTTATTTTCAGAAAAGTGGCTACTCACTATAAAAAAATGGTAATAAGGCATAAAAAATCATGGAATGTTCTGAAAAATAGAATAGCCTATATAAAAAATATATAAAACATACAAAACAAGAACATGAATAAAAAGTAAGCTATATTTTTCTAATAGAGTACATTTCCAGGGCTGTGCTGCATCCAATTTTGCTTTGAAAACCAGCACAAAAGTAAGATGGATCACCTGATCCTGGATAGCAAAACATGGGATTTTCAAATCTAGATAATTCTGATCCATAAACCTTTTGAACAACTGCCCTGCCCTGGAGACTGGAACTCATTGTGTCAGCCAGTATTTGGGAAATCGGGATAACCGCAAGCCTTCTTGATGCCATTTATAAACGTCATCTTCACCTTCCAACACCTTTTAGGCAATGCATTTACTTTGGTTGTCCTGGATGATCCCATTTGAGCAAAACAAATTTACTTGCAGTTTTGAGCCAAAAATTAAGCTATTTTTCTTCTTAGATGTTTACTTGCATTTCTGAAGAGGTAACAATTATAGAAACTACCCAACTATTGGGGGTTTCCCTCACTCAGCTCATCATTGGCAAATATTGCAATTGGAAGTATTGAATTAAGAAGGAGTGACTCTAAAATGTTTATATTAAACCCTGTTTTGTGAGTGCATTACATAATTTTTAGTAAATATATAGTTAAATGTAGGCTATGTACAGTATTGTTATATTACAGATATTCCTTCCCTTTTGACAGCACAGCTAATCACAAATTGTGATATATTATAATACATTTTAAAGCCCTCCTTTTAGAATAAAAATGCAAAACCTGTATTTATTTCCTAGATGATACTCTAATGATTTTATGCCACTCAATAAAAAGTAGCGTAATTTTGGTTGCATATTGTGGTCAGCATTTTTCTGTTCAGTTAACAGTATTTTCCATTGCATGTTTTATTGTATACACTAAATGTACATGAATTAATATAAAAGAAATAACTTTAATTTGAAAGTTACAAGAAATAACTTGTAACTTCATCAGATTATCTCTGGCAACCCTCCCTCCTGAACGGCGGAACAAAAATTCCCCGCTCCGTGTTTCTGTCGGAAGTATTACGGTGACGGACGCAGTGGAACATCATGGAGGGAGATTTGAGTTGTTTTATGTAGCAACTTTGACGCTTTTCTTTGGAATTACCTGCACAGCCTCTCAATGGAGCTCGATAAAGACATCCAGACAACGCAAAGAGGATTTCACTGCAACCTCTGCAATGTTAATATACCCAACAGTAAGTTGTAATAAACTAAAAACAGTAACGTTAGAGCTAACGTTAACACAAGCGAGACACGTTTCTAGACGCTGCTAACTTGTTATAATACAACAATTGCCACTATATTTAGTTCACTCACTGTTAGCCAAAAGTACGTTTTAACACATTCTATGGACTATGATGATACTACGGTATTTCTTGCAGCATCTTTGAGTTTTGTAAATATGGTAATCATACGCATCAAAGTTTTTCGAAATGCTAACGTTACAGCTGCAAAAATAGATAGACGTGGTTTTGACCGCTTCCGAACTACAACAGCAAAGCATGCAATTTTAAATACCATCATACGTCTTACAAGCACTGTTTCTGGTAAATACAAGTGGATATAAATCAAAGAGAATTAAGGAAACTTAAATGATCAACTAAATACATATGATGAAGGTTAATACATGAAGTATAAATATGTGAATACAAATGAATAATACGCATAAGAAAATATGGTAATACTTTACAATAAGTTGTCATTCGTTAAATTGGTTAATGTATTAACTAACATGAACTAACAATGAGCAATACATTGGTTACAGTAGCCTATTTATTCATTTTTGTTAATGTTAGTTAATAATTACACTGTCACTCACTGTTTGTTTATGTTAGTTCACAAAGCATTATATAATGTTAACAAATACAACTTTTGATTTTAATAATGTATTAGTAAATGCTGAAATAAACATTAAGATCAATAAATGATGTTCATTCTTATTTCATGTTAAAGTTAACTAATGGAACCTTACTGTAAAGTGTTACCGAAAATATGAATTAAGAAAATCATCACAAACATTTGACTGTTTAGATACACCGGTATTCCATCAACGATGTTGCTTTCACATTTAACTGGAGTGTTTTTTTGTGCAGAGCCGAGCCTGGAAGATCATGTTAAAGGAAGAAAGCACCAGCATCTGCAGCGGCTCAGAGCTCAGCGTAAAGCTCAGGAGGAAAACAGCGTGTTCGTGAGCGGCTTTAAACCAGACACCTCTCAAACCGATCTGAAGGAGTATTTCACACAGTTTGGACAGGTGTCAGATGTGATCATGGACAAGGACAAGGTTAATATACACACTATCTTTATCATGTGGTATTACCGGTAATTCTCATGGTATCTTTTTCTTGCTTGCATCTTTATTTAAAGGTCTGCCATACATCAAATTCAGAATATGAAATTATTATCTTGGCATTTCATCCCCAATTTACATTCACATTTCCAGAAATTGTGGGACATTTGTAAAATACCAAAAAAGCAAGAATTTGTTATTTTTGTTTTTTTCTATTTTACCTTTATTTATCTGACAAAAAAGTACAAAGAAAAGATTTCCAATGCTTTCCCTGTTCAACTTAATTGTATTTTGTAAATATAATCATTTGAATTTGATTGCTGCAAAAGTTTGGATAGAGGCATGTTTACCACTGTGTTTTCACACCCATAGATCGTTTGTTTTGTTCTGAAACCGGGACGTAATTTGTTACAATGTTGCATTTTTTTCTTGGTTCGTTTAGCTTTCACTTTAATACATTCGTATTAATACTGCAGCAAATTTAAACACGCTCTCTCTGGATCTACCAGCGCTGTCTAGAGGCTGTCTAGAGGTGTCAAGACAAATGCAAACACTATATGAATGTTATAATGCACATAGAGCAGGAATCAAGGCCTCATTCTCGCACAGAGAAGCGCATTTACACAACATTTTAAGATGAAGAGGTGCACTTTTGGTTTTCATTTGTGATCACTAATGTGCTCACTCTCAGAATCAGACACTACTGCTATTTATATAGCATTTTACAGAGTCTTTTCTGGAAATGGGATTGTAAATGTGTGGTTAGTGTTATCCAATTATCAGTGGTGTTTACTAAGGCAAGCATCACTGTAGGGCTGTACTGTCCCAGTCGATTAATTGGTCGATACGTTCTGGTTCGACCAAAATTCTGATTGGTCGATTTTTTGCCACGTTCATTTCTACAGATCATTTCATCAGGTGGAAAGCACTAACTGCTAATGGGGGTGTTTTGAGAGTACCCCTGTTTCACAGTTAACAGTCTGTCTTCAGAGCACCCCCCTTGTTTTCACTTTTTTTGGATTAGCCCAACCCACTGGAGAAGAGAGACAGATACGTAGGCTATAGAAGGTTTGATGCTGAATATTATTTATTTAATTGTGAGAGTGTTTAATAGTCAACAAAGACATCGACAGTGTGGCAGCATTTTGTTAAAATTGATAACGGGAAAAAGGTGAAATGCAAAGTTTGCAAGCAACAGTTTTGCCTTCCACAGCTCGACGACAAAAATAAAAGCGGTAAGCTAACTTGTCTGCGTTAGGTTGCCCTGTCTGTTTTGAGTAACGTTAGGCTATATGAACATTTCAGAATTGGCATATCAGTTATGCACTTTATTTCGTTTCTGCTCTTGATCTGGTTTGTTTAATAAATATTCTTTTTTTATTTATTAAAGTGGACGTGCCTTTTGTGTTTATTAAGAGTAAAAGCTTTAAGTTAATAAACATTTTTAGTCGAAAATTTCAGGACTTCAGTCGACCAAGATTTTCTTTGGTTGAGTATAGCCCTACATCACTGTTACTGTTGCTTATACAGTACTTGGACTTAACCCCCTGGGGTCGGCTATCGCGCCGGCGCGATAGGCAGACTTTTTTTCTTATCAGTGCAAAAGAGACTCAAAATACTCTGTTGATTTTAATCTTACATGTAAGTGTTATACATCAGTCGATCCTGTTTAGTGTATATTATTTTTCTGTATACTCACAATAAAAACAAAGTGTTGTGCTTTTTGTCAAATGAAGAAAAATAAACATGATGCGAGTTTTGCCTTCTCTCTGTCAGTGCAGTCCATTCTGAAACGCGTCCGAAAAATTAACTCTAACTCTGCAAATACTTGTCACACAGGCACGAGAGATTTTTCTTTATGAAGCTTGAATTCTCTTCTTTTCAATGAAGTAATTTATATAAAAAACAAATATTCTCAGTTTATGTAATCTGTATGAAAAGAGAGTGCTGTCAGAATTTTTTTCCCCAGCTCATTACACTTCATTACGCGTTAATCTGACACGCCCACGGAGAACGCGCGCTATTCAAACGCAAATGTAGAGGAAAGCCATGACAACGCCCACATCAGCCGTTCCACCGCGGCGGTAAAATGTGGGGTGTATTTGCTACCTTTTACCGCTAAGAGGCGCTACAATCATAGACTCTGAAAAGTGTTCGTTTATTCTCTCTAATGCGTAATCTGCTGCTCATTCAGAGCGATTGAAAGCTGGTAGCAGATGAATTCAACAAGTGAAACGTAGTTAAAATAATTCATTACCACAATACTGAAATTAGGCTGAAATACTGAAATGAAATTGAATAAATAATGAAAACATAAAACATTGCAATAAAAACATTTAGGCTACATCAATGAAGCTTTACAAAAGCATAAGACTTTAACTCTAACAGCGTACAAACGGTGGCTCAGTGATCAACGCATCAACACGAGCTTCAGGGAGCTTCAATCGACCCGAGATCGAATCTCAATGTGGCATACATGTTGTTAACCGATGTTGGCCAACAGCGTTTATATTTTACCTTCTTGATGCTTAAATAGCTAACTGTTTATAACTGTTTACTTATTTAAAGTCAAGAGTTTTGTTTAATTATCATTACAACATAAATTTGCTACATTCCAGTAGAACCGCAGCCGCTGCACAAAGGACACAAACTGATGAAGGAAGATTGTCAGCCGATTGCATCAGAAAATGAAAATGAAGAAGCTCGTCTTTAGTCTGCTAAATTATTGTGTAATGTAAAAGAACACTAAAATTACTTAAGTTTGAAACCAAGTTCGAACATTTCAAGGTTTAAATAAAGTGTTTTTTTTTATTTAAAACAGGGTTGCATCGGGTTTAGAGTTTATTTCTTTTGCGATGCAAAATAAGAAACACTAGGCTAATATTATTCTTGCGACATTTTAAATTTGTATTGCCAAATAAATGACATTAAACAATTAAAACAGTAGGCCTACAAAACGAAAATTGTCCAAAGCAACATAATTAAATTAAAACATGCGTTTTTCTTTGCCTCTCTCGCGCTGAATCTCTTTTTAACAAGTTTATTTAGTCTCCCTCGCTCTCCATATGAAAGAGGAACATTAACACCTAGGCCTATTGTCCTGCGCGCACAGCACTGAACTGTCCCCCAACCCCCCACAGGCTATCGGAGTCTGAGGCTGATTTAACACAAAGAGAAGTCGTAATTCACACTTAAATCGCTATTCTAGACAGTGTTGATAATGAAGGAATTAAATGATTTAAGTTACATGTAGCCTAGTGAATTTTCTGTCATAAAAGTTTATTACTAAATATTTCATTATTTCAATAATTGATGAAATAAAACTGGTTTGGGCCAGCTTTTTCCAAGCAAAACTAAATATAATCTGAAAAAACGCATGTTCATTTGTTGTCATGAACAAAATGTTCAACTTAATATTAAATTCTACAGGGATCTTTGGATCCTTTCAACCAGGCATGCAATTTGTGAATTAAGTTTTTATTATTTTTTTTATTATTCAAATAAATATCGAACCACGGTGCTTCGTGGTAATGCTGCTAAATTAAATAACATGTAGGCCTATAGAATAATTATGAACTTAAATGAAACAATATCGCAACATTTCGACAAATACATTATTTGATCTGTTTTTACATTTTAATTCAGGGCGATTTAGCCTGCTACATTTCATTAGAGCGAGATTTTCACCCTTGTCATTTTCTCATTGGGAAGCGCTTACATAGGCTACATGTTTGAGTAGATCCTCTGTACCTCTCGTTTTCATATGGATTACATAATCAGATAACATTTATTAGCCTGAATATTTAGACATTTAAAGGCATTAGACAGAGCCGATTTCTTATAGTGACTGAGCTGAAGTGGCTTTCGGTTCATTTTTGTGACGCGCAGTTCCCGGAGACAGAGACGACAGATAAACTTTTGTCGTTAGCAAAAGTTCGAATAAAACCCGATTTTAGAAAAATGCATAGGGCCACTCGGCGTGGTCTGCCAAAACACTTAATTATAAACTTCAATATTTCATTCAAAATAATCTCAAAACGCTTTGTGAAATTTTGAAAAGCCGTGCATGCATTAAGGCCACTTGAACTATGGACAACTGAAACGCTGGTTTTGATTTTATTGTTTATCGTTGTTTAAACGTGCTTGTTCTGTTGCATATCTCTATTTTATATTTGATATGGTCTATTGGTGAAGTAGCCTATAGCATTGATTACTGTGGAGGGAGGGGTGTGGGGATTCAAATAATTCAGCAGAAGCAGGGATGTTTAGACCAGAAGGAAATCCCCGTCCCCCTGGCAAATCACACTTTACTTAAAACCATGTTTTTAAAAACTCTAGGTTGTAGGGAATCAAAAAAATAATAATAATAGGCCTAATAAAATATATATATATATATATTGGCTATATATATAAAATTACTTTTTTTACAGAACTGCTTTTGAAATTACGATTGGCCTCATACGATTGGTACAGATGCAAAGTCGTTCTGTTGGATACTATTGTTCCTTAGTGTAAAATGGAAATGCATGGTAATTTTATTTTATAAATATAAGCAAAAAACTGTATGGTGTACCAGAGTTTTAGAGCTACACAAATCTCTCTGCATTAATAAATATAAAATTTACAATAGACCATGTTTGTTCGGGATTTGAACCCGTGTCATCTTGATGATCGAACCGTAAGTTCTACCACTCGGCTATGAATTTTCTCACTGAGAAATGCCCAAACGTTTGTTTGTCATGAGCGAGAAAACGTTTTGTCGTTAGCCTGTGAGTGTAGGCCTACTTTAGCCTACATGAATAAAAGTAGACCTTTTACAGTTTTAAAAGATGATATCTTATCTGTATGACCAACAATTACGCAGTAAGTTCTTTTAGCTGTTATGAGAAAAATAAATTCAAATGAACGCGCCGCCGCGTTTGTCAAACTCTAATTCAACATGCCAGAATAAAGCCAGATTTTAGAATAATGCATAGCCACTCGGCGTGGTGTGCCAAAATACCCTAATTATAAACTTCAATATTTCATTCAAAACCATCTCAAAACGCTTTGTGACATTTTAAAAAGCCGTGAATGTATTAAGGCCACTGGAACCCGGATCGTAACTGCAACGCGCTGCATGTCTCAATACAGGAGCAGAAGCGCTGGTTCAGATTGTATTGTTTGTTGTTTAAACGTGCATGTTGCATATTTAAAAATATTTGTTTAAAAATAAATGTTTGTTGTAGGCTTATTTGCAAATTACCATAACTTGTAGAATTTCATCCTTACTGTTAATTGACATTAGCCCCACTTACGTTTTGATAAATGTCCCTTTGCGCCACCTGGCGGTCATTTCGCGAACGACTTTGAAATGCGACTGGTTTATTTTTATTGTATTGGTCTACTTTAAAAAATAATACTTTATAAGACATTTATGGAAAAAGACTATTTTCTTTTCAAGATTCTGTAGAATGGCCCATATAGCATTTGACTAGAATTTGTTTCCAGGTATGACTAAAAATGTGCTTTTGGCTTTCATTTATATTTTGATTGTTTGTATATATATATATATATATATATATATATATATATATATATATATATATATATATATATATATATATATATATGTGTGTGTGTGTGTATATATATATATATATATATATATATATATATATTTAGGCTATATATATACAAGAAAGAATGCAATGACAATATATATATATATATATATATATTGTCCTTGCATTATTTCTTGTGTGACACCCCTGAATGAAAGGCTCATTATTATGTAGGGTCACTGTCTGAGAACCACTTAATATTCATGATAGGGGTTGGGCCGTTCCGCCCATCTGCATATTGCCTTGGCAAACAAAAAAATGTTTTTCACAATTTAAAACAATCTATTGGTTTATGTGAATGATTAGGAAGGATGATTTTCAGATCATTTTGAAGCCAGAACTCGAAGCGTCAACATCCATTTGTCAAAAGTCTTGTGGACACATATTTAGTATTTGTTTTGTGGTCTTATTTCAGCAGCTTTCATTTTAATTTTTTTCAATAACCACGCATAAACAATATTCTCTTAAAAATACAAACAATGTACATACAAGTTGCTCACAGATTATGGTAGCCCTGTTTGTGCTATATAGAGTGAATTTACACCTTTGCCATTAACATGTTTATAAATAACTGAAAAAAGCACAAATGTAAGGGCATCACAGAACATCCAAATGGCCCCAAAAACACCTCAGACCCCAGAGGGTTAATGATTTAAACAGCCCTCAAATGATACCTGTGTGTCTACATACTTTACATTTATTTAGAGAGCAGATTATCATAGAGACTTTGGCATTTGAAAGCATCTCATAAAACAAATATAAAAAAAAAGTTGGAATAAAGGTTGTGAAGGTGTTAACTCGGTGAAGCCAGATATGAAGTAATAGTCAGAAAGACAGAAGAGTTAATGGATGTATGTTAATGTGAGAGTTTTTGTTCTGTGCAGGGTGTGTATGCTATAGTGGAGTTCTCCGAGCCGAAGAACGTTCAGACAGCTCTGGAACAGCTACAGCATCAGCTCAATGGACTCCAGCTCCGTGTCAAGCCCAGAGAGAGGAAAGACTTCAAACTGTCCAGCAGGGGGAAACCCAAAAACACCCAGATCAGCCTGGACAAACTCAACAACGAGCTCTGCAAGGCTACATCTGTAAGAAAGCGTTCTACATTCACACAGCTTTCTTGTTTTGAAGCTTTTTCTCATTTTTACGTTTTCTTTTCTTTTTGTGTGTAAAAGGTCAATGAGCAGATGCAAAAGGTGGTGGAGTTTTTTGAGCTGAATGACAATGAGAAGAAAGTGAGAGATCTCCTAGTTCAGCTGCTACAGGAAGTCTTCACAGAGTTCTTTCCAGGTCCATTCTTAACTCAAACTTGAACCAGATTTCCATCATTGCATCCTTATCCTATAAACCAGGGTTTCTAAAATGGGGGGTTCGTGATGAAACTGAAGAGGTTCGTTAGTTTATGAAAAGCTAATGATTAAATCAAATGCAGAGAAGTTAATCTCGGCATGTGCTGAGTTTAACATACATTTGGAAATGCAGTGTGTGGTGGGTTGGGTTCACACTATTTACATTCACTTTTGTATAATTTCCAACATTTTTGTGGACAAAAGTTCACAGAATTTTTTTAGTGTTCTGGCAAAATAAATGCTTGAATTTAAAGTTTTGAAGGTTTGAATGTTTGAAAGTGAAAAATGTAAGACAAATATTTGTATTATAACATTTTGTGTAAAATAAAACATAATTATCACATTTTATTTTACAGTACAATTGTAATTTATAACGGTAATGTATTTCTGTTTACATTTTAAAGTTAAAACTAATAAGAATAATTAGTGTTGTTTATTATTGTTATTAAATTTGATTGGATTCCTAAAAACACCAGTGTCAATGTAATGTGGACTAAGACAATTACCACAACTAAAAAAGAAGTTTGTGTCCACTCCACTCCCTGGCAACAGTAATTTTTTACACTACTCGTTATTTTACTTTTCCATTACATGCCACAAAATTAGTAATTGCATATTTTCTCCTCAAAATTATGACTTTGCATTTGTGCCTCTTTGTGAATGTTAGGCTATATTTACACATTTTTTTAGAATTTCTTTCAGAATCATCATTTCTAAAAAAAAAAATGTATAAGATCATTCGCTGCACGTCACTCATATTACGTTTTCATAACCTGCCGTCTTTTCCGATTGTAGATAGCACATCATTTGCAATTTAAATTTTTAATGATAATATCTGGTTATGGTTACACTTGAAATAGTTGATAATTAATAATAGTTGGCAATTAATTGTACCCAGCCTGTATATAAAATGTTACCTGAGAGACAGGTCGAGTGAGACAAAAGATGCGTCTTTTAGCCGTTTCTTGAAAATTGCTAAATACTTAGCTGCTCGGTGGAGTTAGGCAGGTCATTCTACCTGCAGGGGAACAGTCAAGGTAAAGGACTGTAAAAGTGATTTTTTTTGCCTCTTTGAGATGGCATTACATAGTGCCATTTACTTGCAGAGCGCAAGCTTCTCGAGGTCACTTAAGTCTGAAGTAGTGAGTGTAGGTATAGGGTTGCAGAGCCTGTGGTTGTTCTTTTGGCAAAAATCAGTGCCTTGGATTTGATGCAAGCGGCTATTGACGTGCGCTCTCTTCTGTCCGTTTATGACCACTCTTGCTGCAGCATTCTGGATCAGTTGCAGAGGTTTGACAGTGCATGCTGAAAGGCCTGCCAAGAGAGCATTACAATAGTCCAGTCTGGATAGAACAAGAGCTTGGACAAGGAGTTGTGTTGCATGCTCTGATGGGAAGGGGCTGATCCTCCTAATGTTGTACAAGGCAAATCTGCAGTTCTAGCAATGAGCTCTGTGAAATTTAACGTATCATCAATCACAATTTCAAGGTTCCTGGCTGTCCTGGAAGGAGTTATGGTTGACAGAGCTAGCTGAATGGAGAAGTTGTGATGAAGTGTTGGGTTGGCTGAGACCACAAGCATGTCTGTTTTTGGAAAATTGAGTTGAATGTGGTGGTCCTTCATTCAGTCAGAAATATCTGTCTAGCAGCTACCGTCGGATCATCTGGCTCGAATGAGAGGTAGAGTTGTGTGTCATAAACATAGGTGATAGGAAAAGCCATGTTTCTGAATGACAGATCCTACTGATGACGTGTAGATGGAGAAGAGAAGTGGTCCAAGCACCGAGCCCTGAGGCACTCCGGTAGCCAGATGTGGCGACTTAGAGACCTCACCCCTTCAAGACACCCCGAAGGACCTACCTGAGAGGTTAGACTTCACTGGAGTGCGGTTCGTGAGATGCCCTTCGTCATGAGGTTGACTGGAGGATCTGGTCGTTATGTTTCAAAAGCAGTAGTCATATCCAGTGTGTGCTGTTAAGATGTGTTTGTCAGTTTGTGGTGTGGAGAATTGGTCACTGATGGTTGTTTTATTTATGATGAATAGGGTTAGGGTGTTAGGGTCATCAGCTGTTAGAATTGTTGAAGAATGGGGAGGAGGAGGACAAAGAAGAGAGGAAAATGGTTTTGAAAAGTGTGCGAGAGTCAGAGGAATTGTAAATTTTGTTGTGGTACTATGTCGTTTTACCAGTGGAGACATTTGCAGAGAATGAAGAGAGGAGTGACTGATACAAACTACATTTAGTCATTTAGCAGACGCTTTTATCCAAAGCGACTTACAACTGAGGACTAAACCAAGCGAGTCATCGTGAAGAGGCAAAAACAACGCAAGAAGTGCTCAAAATACAATGTTCAGACAGACATAGCTCGGAGTAGCATAAGCCAGGCAAGCGAGGATTTAGAGGAAAGGATTTTTTTTTTTTTTTTTTTATGTTAAGTGCTCCCGGAAGAGATGAGTTTTCAGTTGTCTTTTGAATGCTGTCAGGGATTCTGCATTCCGGATGAGGGTGGGGAGATCATTCCACCAGCATGGAACTGTGAATGAGAATGTTCTGGAGAGTGATTTTGTGCCCCGCTGTGATGGTACCACGAGCCGTCGCTCATTGACCGATCGTAGGCTTCTGGTAGGGATGACTACCAAAGTCATCTAAACTAAAGTCAATGGGATCTTTCGATTACATTACAACACTCAATGTTTATAACACTTGATGGTGGTTTACAGTAAGTTTTGAGTAAAAGCATAGTATTAATCTCATAAATTATTATGTGTAGCTTGATGCTAATTAAAATATAATTGTACCTGGATAACAGGTGAATTATATCTACATGATGAGTTTGTCAAAAAATATTCACGTAAGGAAATGTTTAGTTTTTTTGTAGAAAGACTTTTTATAATAGGTGGGTATACTGTATATTGGGATCAAAGAGATGTGGATGGGCAAGCCATGTAATGCCAGAGTAAAGTATGCCACAAAGTTGTGGCATAGATTTGACAACAGTGTTCTTGTTCTCTTTTCTCTCGACAAAATCAAAGTAATGGCAATATTTCCCGCCGCTGAATGTAAGCTTTTCCATATTCCAAGTGACTGTAATCATTGCAGAATATAGTGCAACTTTTTTTTTAGCAGCATTAGTTCTGGAAATGTTTTCAGCATCAGAAGAAGCTTTATTTCCAAGTATGTTTCCTGTTCATTTTCTAGTGATTTAGAAAAAGTATTTGTGTCATGTGTTATAGATTGCCAGATTGTGCCCTTTGGCTCCTCTGTGAACACGTTTGGGATTCACTCCTGTGACCTTGATCTGTTCCTCGACCTTGAGAACACCAAAGCATTTCAAGCTCGCGCAAAGACTACTGGATTGGTGAGTTAGCACCACTAATACTGGACATCTGTGAACTCAAACATCAAATAATGAATCTATTTACATCTATCTTTAAAATGTCTAAAACTACATTTTTCTTGGAATCTTTCTTGGCGCCGCCCCCTTGCTGGCGACTCGGCCACCTGTGTGCAGAGTGTTTGTGTGCAGAGTGTTTGTGAATCGTGCTTTATGTGTTTTTATTATTTATCATTTATCATTAGAAAGGCTGGCTCAGTGATGGGCCTTAATCCTGACTCACTTGAGATCACTGTGGAAAAGAGAACAAGGGCAAAATTAAAAATAATTATGCGTTACAAAGGTCATCCACTACATTGTAATTTTAGTGGACTTAAAAGCTCATTTAGTGGAAGATTAATAATGCCTCGGTGTTCTACAGAGCGATTTAGAAGGTCTTTTACTCCGAATGCAGTTAGGTTGTTTAATGAAATTGTGTAATTTCTTGTATTGATTGTTGTTGTTTTCTGTCTTTGTTTGTTTGTGGTGTCTGTAATGTGCAAGGGTGGCGAATGAGTTTCCCCTTACAGGGATTAATAAAGTTTTCTTACTTACTTACTTACTTATTTACTAATTTCAACAGACAGGAGAAAATCAGTCTGAGGATTGCCATTCTGAAGACTCCATTTTGTCCGACATTGACCTGTCCACTGCCACTCCTGTTGAAATTTTGGAGCTTGTTGCAGCCATTTTGAGGAAGTGCGTTCCAGGTGTACACAAAGTACAGACGCTCAGCACTGCCCGACTTCCTGTGGTCAAGTTCAGTCATCGAGAGCTCAACCTCCAAGGAGACATCACAATCAACAATAGGTTGAAAACAGTTATTTTTGGCCATTTTGTAAAATAAACCAGTTTGAATGTAGCACCCCATTTGACAGTAGTATACTTCAGGTTTGTGAAATCTTTGTCTATAATGTCTTCCCTTTTTTCACCAGATTGGCAGTAAGAAACACTCGATTTCTGCAGTTGTGTTCAGGCATCGATTCCAGACTGCGACCCTTAGTCTACGCCATCCGATTATGGGCTAAGCAGAAACAATTAGCAGGTAATATAGTTTTATATGATAATTAGTTGTCTATAAAAAATTTACATTCTGTAATTTTAAGGCTAAATTTTTATTGTGACCGCATATTAGTGATTATAACACATTTTCAGGGCAAAATATTTATTCTCAATACTGTAAACCGATGACACTTCATTGTAGAAAAGTAATGTCAATCCTCTTGTTTTTTAAAGTCAGTGTTAAAATAATTCAGACTTATACTTTACAATAACTTTTTTTTTTTTGATTACAGTAATGAGAAAGACAATTGAGGCAGGGGATAAAAATGATCTTAGTTGTCATGAAAATAATATCAAAATGCAAACTCTTTTAAAGGGATACTCCACTCAAAAATGAAAATTCTGTCATCATTTACTCAGCCTCAAGTTGTTTAAAACCTGTATGAGTTTCTTTCTTCTGCTGAACACAAAGGAAGATATTTTGAAGAACGATTGGAACCAAACAGTTGTGGGGCACCATTGCTATGGAAGTCAATGGTGCCAAAGTTCCAATCGTTCTTCAAAATATCTTGCTTTGTGTTCAGCAGAAGAAAGAAACTCATACAGGTTTGCAACAACTTGAGGCTGAGTAAATGATGACAGAATTTTCATTTTTGGGTGGAGTATCCCTTTAATGTTTCTAAAACTGTTTCATTTTCCTTATGCAAAATATAACTACTTTTTTCTTTTGATTTTGAGGTGAAACACTGTATGACGGCCTGGATGTTTCTTGATGCATGTACAGTTTTCTGAGTTAAACCTTGTACATTTCTAATGTCATAGGGAACCTGTCTGGGCCTGGACCGTTGTTGAACAATTACGCTCTTACACTGCTGGTGATCTTCTACCTTCAGAATCGAGACCCTCGTGTGCTTCCCTCTGTGAATCAGCTCAAGAACATGGCCTGTGCGTTAATCTGGACTACTGTTTATTTAACTTCCTTAATCAGTTGTTTTATCTGTATTTTATTATTACTTAATACAAATTTTGTTGACTGTTTTTCAAAGAAATATTAAATTCAAAAGCAATAAGAAGCCAGACAAAACAGTATCTATCATGAGAGTATGAGATGTGTATTAATAATTAGGTGTGAATCTTCACTTGCCTCTTGATTCGATTACAATTATCGGAGCATCACAATGCATCTTTTCCTCTCAATTCTTTTATTAATAATTATTATATTAATAATCACAATATAGTTATTTTTTATTTTATCTTTGTTATTAAAAATAAGAACAAAGATGCAAACAATAGAGTGAATACAATATTAGGAAGAAACAAACTCATTTAACAATGCTTTACATTTTCTTTTCTTTTTTTTTCTGAAATACATACATTTTATAATTAAATGTAAAAGTAATCACTGCAGTCTTTCATGTATTAATTACACATAAATTGATTATTAAACCTACAAGTTTAGAAAAGAGCAGTGAGTGGTTCCCTCTTTTCTTTTGTTCCTTGATTAACATTAATGACAGACAGCAGCAGATTTATTATATTGCACCTATTAGACTTAACGCACGCATCTAATATAATGTTACACATAGATTCCCCCCCAACTGTTTACGTTCACTTAAGACATGAATACTCAAAGACAGATATTTTGAAAAATTGATCCGTTCAAGTGGAATATGCCACTAAAGAGAACTGAATTCAGGATCGCATGCTGTCTGAGAGAGGTGTCTTTTTGTGTTCACGCTTCACGCTGTATCAGTCAGCGCAAGTAACGTATTGAGATCTTTTTCATGTTCATTTCATAAAAAACGCTACATCAATAAAACAGCACATTATTATGTCTTGTATGCCTATTTAAAAAATACAAATTCAAAGATTCTTTTGTTTTTATGCATCGATGCAGAATTGTTCAGATCAGCAGTGCAATGCATCGTAAAAACGATTGTGTTCCACAGCTCTATTAAAAATGTTTTTTGTTTGTGTAGGTGAGGAAGAAGAGTGCGTTATTGAGGAAAGGGATTGTACATTTCCTAGTCAGCCCTTTAGTGTACCACCCAGCAAAAACACTGAAGATCTCTGTAAGTACCACACATGCTTTTAGATCATTTCAGTTGAATTATCAGTGAGTGTTTACATGAACGTTCTTAAACCAGTTATGCCTAATAAGGTGACAAAGTGCGTGCTCATGTAAACAAGGCAATCTGTTTTCGATTACTCGCCCTCATGTCAGTACAAACCTGTATGCATTTCTTTCTTCTGATGCACACAAAAAAAGGATATTTTGAAGAATGTTTTGTTCCCATTGACTTCCATTTTTTTGGTCAAGGGGAACTAAAATTGTTTGGCTACAACATTCTTCAAAATATTTTCTTTTATGTTCCCCAGAACAAAGAGCCGTACAGGTTTGGAACGACGGGTAAATAAATGATGACAGAATTGTCATTTTTGGGTGAACTATCATTAACCAGCATTCTGTCTGGTTACTGTTCTCATCTTGCGCAGCCAAAGGAGTTGTACAGTTTAAAAGTGATGCTGATTTTGACTTTTGATCCATACATGTCTAAATGTTTTATTTAACATCCCAACTTATAGTTTGGATACAGTTGGATACTCTTCTAATTACATATTCATGTAACTAGGTAATAATCTGATTACCTACCTGATTTAAAATGTTTATTTAAACTGGTTGTCAACCGTATTTCAATACACTATATTAGTTTTAATAAACTTTTTCACGGAAACAAAGGCGGTGTATCCTTTTTGGGTAATGCAATCCCAGAATAAATAGGGAAATGTCTTCCTATTTCCTCTGAGATTGTCTTATTGCCATTTATCTAAATGGTAATTGGTTGGCTAATGTTGACCCACCCTGCTGTACTCAGTTCTTTTAATGTAATAATATAATTTATCTACCAGAATATTAGTATTTTTGATTTGTTTTATTTTGTAAATGTGTGGGGGGTTTTTTGTCAGAAAGCTGCTTTTGAAACAATAAGGAACATGCTGAACATTCTGTTTACATCCATTATACACTCACCGGCCACTTTATTAGGTACACTTCAATTCAATTCAAATTTATTTGTATAGCGCTTTTCACAATACATATTGTTTCAAAGCAGCTTTACAGAAAGTGCATTTTAGAAATGTACATAGAATAATATAGTTAGTTAATCATCATGTATTAATTTAGGGCATAACATATCGCCGGCGTTGAGTCGTCTCATCGCAGGTGTTGGAGCGTCTGAAGTCTCCGTGAGAGGCTGGATACAAACTGGAGCTGACGAACGCTATTTACCTCGGGACTAGCGTCCCGAGATAACAGCAGAAAAGCAGATGGGAAATAATTAGCGTAGCTGCTGTTCATAATATTAATGCAGTCGATCTGATTCAACAGTGGTATAAAAGGTAAGCATTATGTGAATGCTTGGCTGAAGAGATGCGTCTTTAATCTAGTTTTGAACTGGGAGAGCGAGTCTGAGCCACGAACAGTATCAGGAAGGCTATTCCAGAGTTTAGGAGCTAAATGTGAGAACGCCCTCCCTCCTTTAGTGGACTTAGATATCCTAGGAATGACCAGAAGCCTCGAATTTCGGGATCTTAAAGAACGCGATGGATTGTAGGGCGATAGAAGGTCCATTAAATACACAGGAGCTAAACCATTTAGGGCTTTATAGGTCAGTAGTAGTACTTTGTAATTGATACGGAACTTAATAGGTAACCAGTGCAGAGATGATAGAATCGGTGTTATATGATCATATTTTCTTGACCTAGTAAGAACTCTAGCGGCTGCATTTTGGACTAACTGTAGCTTGTTTATTGAAGATGCAGGACAACCAGCTAATAAAGCATTACAATAATCTAGTCTCGAGGTCATGAATGCATGAACTAACTTTTCTGCATCAGAAACAGATAGCATGTTACGTAATTTAGCAATGTTTCTAAGGTGGAAAAAGGCTGTTCTTGTAACATACGAAATATGATTTTGGAAAGACAAGTTGCGGTCTAGTATAACACCCAGGTCTTTAACTGTAGTCGATAAGGTAACAGGACATCCTTCTATATTAAAGTTGTATTGTAAGAGATTTTGTGGGTAGTTTTTTGGACCAATAAGGAATACCTCAGTTTTATCTGGATTTAGTAGCAGGAAATTACACGTCATCCAGCATTTTATATCTTTAAGACATTCTGTCAATTTAGATAAGTTAGTGTATTCATCTGGTCGTGATGAAATATATAATTGAGTGTCATCAGCATAGCAGTGGAAATTAATTCCATGTTTTCTTATAATATTACCAAGTGGCAGCATATATATTGAGAATAGCAGAGGGCCTAACACCGATCCTTGCGGCACTCCATAGTCTACTGACGTTATCTTCGATTTTTCCCCATTTAAACAGACAAAATGGTAACGGTCCGATAAGTACGATCTGAACCAGCTTAATGCCTGTCCCTGAACACCAGTGTAGTTTTGTAGTCGATCCAGGAGTATTTTATGATCTATAGTGTCGAACGCAGCGCTAAGATCGAGTAGAACTAGTATTGAGATACAGCCTTGGTCAGAAGCTAAAAGTAAATCATTTGTAATTTTAACTAGCGCAGTTTCTGTGCTATGATGCGGTCTGAATCCTGACTGAAATTTTTCATATATCTCATTTTCTTGCAAGAAAGAACACAATTGAGCGGACACAATTTTTTCTAGTATTTTAGACATAAATGGAAGATTTGAAATGGGTCTGTAATTTGCTAAGTTATTTTGATCTAATTGCGGTTTCTTAATGAGAGGTTTTATTACTGCCAGCTTGAATATTTTTGGAACATGACCTAAAGATAAAGACGAGTTAATAATATTAAGAAGAGGCTCTTCCACTACAGGTAACACTTCTTTCAGAAGTTTAGTGGGTATTGGATCTAATAAACATGTTGTTGGTTTAGATGCAATGATAAGTTTATTTAGCTCTTCCTGTCCTATAGTTGTAAAGCGGTGTAGTTGTTCTTGAGGGGCTATAATTGAGGCTGAATCACAAGACACCATAGAGGATTGTACATTTACAATTGTATTTCGGATGCTTTCTATTTTCTCATTGAAGTAATTCATAAAATCATTACAACTATACTGTAACGGAATATTTTGCTCTGGTGATGTCTGTTTATTTGTTAGTCTAGCCACGGTGTTAAATAAAAACCTTGGATTATTTTGGTTATTTTCTATTAGTTTGCGGAGATGCTCTGCCCTGGCTGCTTTTAGAGCCTTTTTATAACGTGACACACTGTCTTTCCACGCGATTCTAAAGACCTCTAAATTAGTTTGTTTCCATTTACGCTCTAAGTTACGAGTTTCTCTCTTGATAGCATGTGTAGTACTATTGTACCATGGTGCTTTAGTTTTCTCTCTAACCTTTTTCAATTTAATTGGTGCAACAATATCTAATGTACTAGAGAAAATGGTGCTCAAACTGCTGGTCATTTCCTCTAGTTCGTCTGTTTGTTTGGGTTCACTGAGCAGCTGAGATAGATCAGGTAAGCTATTTGAGAATCTATCTATAGTGATTGGAAGGATTGTTCTGCCTGGTCGATAACGCGGCGCAACATGACAAATTTCAGCAGTGCGTATTATACAAGTTACCATGTGATGATCAGTGAGATCGTCACTTTGCGGTATAATATCTATATCGGTTGGATCGGTTCCATATGATATAATTAAGTCTAGTGTATGATTTAGACGATGAGTGGGACCACTGACATTCTGCTTGACCCCAAAGGAATTTAATAAATCTGTAAACGCAGTCCCTAACGCATCATTTGTGTTATCTACGTGTATGTTAAAATCTCCAACAATTATTGCTTTATCGACATTGACCAATAGATCTGAGAGAAAGTCTGCAAACTCTTTTAGGAAATCAGTGTAGGGCCCTGGAGGTCTATATACAGTAGCCAAGGCTAGAGATAATAGGGATTTCTTTCTTACATCTAAGAGCGTAACATTTAGCACAAGTACTTCAAACGAATTAAACCTGTGACCTGTTTTCTGAGTAACATTAAGAATATCTCTATAGATTGTTGCAACACCGCCGCCACGACCGATCAGACGGGGCTCATGCTTATAACAATATCCTGACGGAGTAGACTCATTTAGACCGAAATACTCATTTGGTTTAAGCCAGGTTAAGCCACTTTATTAGGTACACCTGTCCAACTGCTCGTTAACACTTAATTTCTAAGCAGCCAATCTCATGGTGGCAACTCAGTGCATTTAGGCATGTAGACATGGTCAAGACAATCTCCTGCAGTTCAAACCGAGCATCAGTATGGGGAAGAAAGGTGATTTAAGTGACTTTGAACGTGGCATGATTGTTGGTGCCAGAAGGGCTGGTCTGAGTATTTCAGAAACTGCTAATCTACTGGGATTTTCACGCACAACCATCTCTAGGGTTTACAGAGAATGGTCCGAAAAAGAAAAAACATCCAGTGAGCGGCAGTTCTGTGGGCGGAAATGCCTTGTTGATGCCAGAGGTCAGAGGAGAATGGCCAGACTGGTTCGAGCTGATAGAAGGGCAACAGTGACTGAAATAACCACTCGTTACAACCGAGGTATGCAGCAAAGCATTTGTGAAGCCACAACACGCACAACCTTGAGGCGGATGGGCTACAACAGCAGAAGACTCCACCGGGTACCACTCATCTCCACTACAAATAGGAAAAAGAGGCTACAATTTGCAAGAGCTCACCAAAATTGAACAGTTGAAGACTGGAAAAATGTTGCCTGGTCTGATGAGTCTCGATTTCTGTTGAGACATTCAGATGTTAGAGTCAGAATTTGGCGTAAACAGAATGAGAACATGGAACCATCATGCCTTGTTACCACTGTGCAGGCTGGTGGTGGTGGTGTAATGGTGTGGGGGATGTTTTCCTGGCACACTTTAGGCCCCTTAGTGCCAATTGGGCATCGTTTAAATGCCACGGCCTACCTGAGCATTGTTTCTGACCATGTCCATCCCTTTATGGCCACCATGTACCCATCCTCTGATGGCTACTTCCACCATGTCACAAAGCTCTAATCATTTCAAATTGGTTTCTTGAACATGACAATGAGTTCACTGTACTAAAATGGCCTCCACAGTCACCAGATCTCAACCCAATAGAGCATCTTTGGGATGTGGTGGAACGGGAGATTCGCATCATGGATGTGCAGCCGACAAATCTGCGGCAACTGTGTGATGCCATCATGTCAATATGGACCAAACTCCTTGAGGAATGCTTCCAGCACCTTGTTGAATCTATGCCACGAAGAATTGAGGCAGTTCTGAAGGCAAAAGGGGGTCCAACCCGTTACTAGCATGGGGTACCTAATAAAGTGGCCGGTGAGTGTATATGCTGTGTAATGGTATAGCTACAACATCTACCAACAGTGGCAACATGGCCTAGATTTCAGTCAATATATACTGGAAGTATTTACAGAAATCAAATATGAAAAAGGTTGTTCAGTAATTGTGAATGGTTATTTCACACAATATTGTTAGAAAATTAAATTGCATTATTAGTCTGTGGTTGAAAGTGAATCAAATGCCATTAGTCAAGTCCCCCATGTTAACAGACAATTATTGACAGTATCAGAAAAGTGACAAATGAACAAAATGAAAAAAAAAAAAAAAAAGTTGAACAAAATGTGGTCTGTTGGTGTTTATTTATACCGAACATTTTATATCACAGTTCTCCATGATATGAGAGTTTTTTTCTAATCTTATTTTCACTTTAAATAAAATACTTTTCTACTGTCCAGTAGAGATGCGCGGTTGGCGGTTACAGCCGCAGACTAAATTCGTGACAGAACACATTCTGCTTAAATGAATGTCATTTCATGACATTCATTTAAGCAGTCTATCCTAAATGGAGATCGCTAAACTCCAGTTTACTTGTTTGTTGGTATTTTCATATAATCCGTGCTTTTTTTGCCGCAGTGTAAAGAGAGCGCTTGCGCATGGTTGCAAGATTGCAAAGATTAAGTAAATCACCGGGTAGAAAACATTTTCTTTTAACATAAAAGCTCTGATTGGGGGATTTAAATTCTTGAAATCTGGCAACCGCAAGCAATAAAGCTCGTAGCGGCTTACAAATATTTTTTGTTGTTGTCCTTTTTCCCCCCTAATAAAAAAACAGAGTAATTTGGTCACATTTTAGTCAACGATATTGCATGTTGATAGTCACATTTATACATTTATGATATAGTCATAGAGATTTCTTTTGTCATACTAGATTTCGTTTACAAAATTAACACTATTCAACATTTTTATCATTGTTTTGATCACCATAAGAATGTCCATTAACCTAAAATTATATTTAACATGTCTCCTCAGTCATCCAATCAGATATTTCGATACTTTGTTTTTGAGTATGCTACTGTCTGTACTGGTATCAGTAGACTGTGCAAATTATGTAAATTATGTCACGTGTGCGTTCATGGACAAGCGATTTGTTATTCTCCCTATAACTTTCCCTATCTCCTTTCCCTCAGGCACTTTGCTTTTTGGATTCTTCACCTTTTACTCACAGTTTGATTTCCCTGCATCAGTGGTGTCTCTGCGAGACGGCCGTGTGCTCCCTATTACAGACTTCTTTTGCAGTGACGAGGATGCGGTAAACGCTGCAGAGGCCTCTAGTCCCAAACCAAAGCGCTCCTCTGCCCCTAAACTGGGCCCAATGAATGTCCTAGATCCATTTGAGCTAAACCACAATGTGGCTGGGAACCTTAACGAACGAACACAAAAGAACTTCAAGAGAGAATGCTGCGATGCTGAGAAGTACTGCCGCAGTTTGCAGTACCAGCGCAAATCAGCCAAGGGCAAATCCTGGGGCCTTGTGCGGCTCTTTGCACCGCCAAGTGAAACAGGACCCCGACCGAAAGTCGAGACTGAGAAGATTATGGAGGTCGGCATCTCTTTCAAGGCAGCCATTCTCCCAGAACCCTTGCGTGCCCAACTGGCATTGGCTGGGAAGGGTTTTAGGGGTCTTTGGTTTGCGAAGGTCTGCTCTGCTGTGCAGATGGTGTTTCAAGAAATTTTAAAATGTTCACCCTCTGAGGAGACTCAAACTGCAGACCTTTGTCAAAGTCTGGACAAAGCCAACAGAGATGGAAATGAAATGGAGGTGAATAATAACCAGAGTCTAGAAGATACTGCTCCTCAAGCCAAAAGTGAAGCTGGTAAGAAGAGGCCTCTTATAATGGAGGAGGGTCCATCAACCTCCACTGTTATGCAAGCTAAAAGACAGAAACTAGATGTTGATATGGAGCACCCAGAGCCGGTCCACTGGACTTGGACTCAAAGGAGCTGTGTTTGGGCAGGCCGACGGAAAGTGCGGAGAGATCTCTTGAAGACTAGTGATGAGACTTCCAAACCTGAAGGAGGCTGCGTTGACATTGAAAGCAGGGTGACACAGAGCATTGTGGAGAAAGAGGAGAAAATTCAAGAATTGTTGTTCAAAGTGGATGCAGAAGTTGTTGGCGGGAATGAAAACACCATGGTTGTCCTCCGTTTTCACCCCAGCCATGATACTGCAGCCGTCTTTCAAGACTTCTTCCATTTTCTAGAGTCCTTCCTGCCTAAGATGGCAGAAACGATCCTAGGGAGAGCAGAGGATGTTACAGAAATGTCATAGTTTATTTTTTTATTTTTTTGGTTAAACGTTTTTGCAAAAACGTCTACTTTTGAAAACCTTACAAGCAAAAAAAAAAATATTTTAGTGATTTGTTTTGACAATATAACAATATACTTCGATGCTATGTTTATTGCATGTTTTGAGTTCAAATCTATTTCCTGTTTGAATTAGGTTTTGCCTCCCCCCCCCCCCCCATCCCATGATTTTGGCATGTTTGCCTCTCTATAATGTAAATATAATGAATGTGAACACTCACATTAAACTGAAAGTTTAAACCATTGAGACCTGGACTGTAGCTTTCTGTATAAAATGGATAGTTCTGATTTCAAAATCTGATTTGATGCGGTGTGTTTGGTCTGGTCTAAAATCGACATCCCCTAGAGACCTAACTTGTTCCCCTAACTAACTTGCTGCGCAGCAATAATAAACAGACAGACTTCAGCAAATGTCCTTTAAATGCTTTATCACGGCCGGGCACAACAAAGACAGACACAACAAAATAAGATCTTCGTGACTAACATGTCACCTTTTATCAATATGATTGGTTCAATTGGTAAAGCAGGCCCCCACCTTTTTCCCCCTCTGTTACTGGCATAAGCAGAATTACCTCGAATCATCAAAAAAAACATTGCAAAGGGTTAAAAGTTCAGTTGATTACTCAATATATCATGACATAATACAGACAGTATATTTTTGATTTTGTCATGATCAGCACTTGAGAATTTTCCATAACACAAATAGAAAAATAACATAACGTTTTGGTACATTTTGTCCAAAGTGTTAGAATTGTTAGACTTAAAAGGGGAAGTAATTCAATTTATGTAATTGTGTCTTCTGAAAGTTTCTATCTCCCAGTAATGCTTGAAGGGGTAACTTAAGTTGTGACTGTTCGAATTCTTTCCACCTTGCGCAGTACTCGTCATTACACCAGCAAACCAAGTGTCTTAACTGTGCTGCTTTATAATAATCATCTAACAATGGCAGACCTCCCACCCTGATCTTTAGGATGTTGTACAGTATTAAACCGCACTCTAGGCCGTCCAAATGAAGCGAGGTATTCGTTTTTTCCATTCATCAAATTGCCTTTTGGGTATATGTACTGGTAAAGCTTGAAAAAGGAGTAATTTTGGCCAAATATTCATCTTTATAATCTCTATTCAATTATATAAATCTAAAGGTTGGAGAAGCCATCTATTCAAGTCCGTTTTTTATGATTTATCTAGGGCATGTGAGAAACAACAACACGTCATCAGCATATAAACATATCTGGTGTTCTATATCCTTGACTACCACTCTTTCTATATCATCTCTGATTAGCTGTGCCAATGGCTCAATAAATAAAGCAAATAGGGTAGGGCTTAATGGGCACCCTTGTCAGCATCCCCTTTCTAAAGTAATATAATCTGAAATGTTACCGTTAATTTTGATTCTTGCTGTAGTTGAATATAAAGATTTTATAATTCTAAGAGTCATTTCCAAATCCAAAACGTTGCAAAACTGAATATAAGAAATCCCAACTCACTGAATCGAACGCCTTTTCTGCGTCTAGACTAATTACGAGGGCACTAGTTTTATTCAGAAATAAATCAATTATGTGTAGGGTTCGCCATGTATTATCATATGTCTGTCTTTGTTTTACAAAACTGGTTTGATCGTTATTAAATCTAAAAGAATGTGTTCTAGTCGTTTAGCTGGATGCATAAAGTCTGTAGTCAATATTTAGAACTGAAATAGGTCTATACGAGCTACATTCCTTCTCTTTTCCTATTCCTACATCTTTTCCTTCCTTTGTCAAATTCATTATTTATACTAATTAATATTAATTACTAATTAATACTAATTGTTTTGTTGCTTGGAAACTATAAATCGCCTACAGATACTCTTAAGACCTATATAAATGTATCTTGGTGGAACAGTTGTTCACATTCCTGCTATAAATGGTAAATTTATGAATTTTCACATGGAATTGAGCAAATGTTCTACTAAAACTTGAGCTCCATAATATAAATACATACATATATTGTATATAATCTAGTATTTGAGAATATTTTAAAGCTGGTATGCCTGGTATTGTATTTCAGTGGTTAGTTGCCATTCCCATACCTAAAATACATATTTTACAGTCACTGTTATGCAAATTGAAAACCACTATATTCTAGTGATCAAACACAGCTCAAAGGCTCTACCAGTGGCTGTCCTTATAGAACCCTGATATGGCAAAATGTGTATAAAATCCACTCGTATACTCAATTTACAATGATATTGTGATGTAAGAAAAAAACTAATATGATTTCAATATTGATTACTTGTGAGTTTAATGTTTTATCCAATATCTTAAGACATGATTGTGACATGGAATTAAATTCAGTAACGCACTTTATATGGCTTTTTGAAGATTTATTTCCATGTTAATATTCAAGCCCTGTTCTGCCCGTCAGCCTGATGTCCATGGACTCTATGGCCGTAAGACATGGTTAGAATGGCAAACCTGTGAGTACTCTGGAATGAGAATTCAAAGGTGTGTGCAGAGATAAATGACTGTAATTACACAACGAGGCATGCTACTTCATTACAGCTAATGTATATGACACTGGAGGATTAGTCACAAATGAACAGCACATATTCTGCCTTATTTCATGCAGTTTGATGTGGATGCAAGAGTAATTAAGAGATAAAATGGATGAGATAGTAGTATTTTTTTTTGTGTGTGTTGGAAAGAGTTGGAGAAAATGTAGACCTGTTTAAAATTTTGTATAGTATTTTTTTTTTTTAGGTTAAAATTGCTTCTGTATTTGATACATTCAGTTTGATAATCAAGTATTAATATCAATATTCTGTGGTGTTCTGGTATATTCTTGAGCATGTATGTATTTATGGGTATTATGCTTGTTTTATATGATGCATTACATATGTCGCCATCAGTGACATCTGTGAACCGGTTTTTTTTTTTTTAGTTGTTGCATCAGAATGTCTATTTATGAAGAGTCAGTGTTTAAAATAAACAGATTAAATCAATTGTATGGAGTAAACCATTTTGTTAGCGGATTTACAGTTAAAGACCCAAGGACCAGATATGATTCAGTTAAGACCTGCAGTCAGAAGTGCAGTCAATTTAAGATTCAAATTAAAGATTTTTTTTACTGAAGATAATTTGCAGTTTCATCAAGCAAAAGTCAGCTTCAAGTCAAGTCACCTTCATTTATATAGTGCTTTTAACAATATAGATTGTTTCAAAGCAGCTTTACAGTGATAATAGGAAATTAAAGTAACAGAGATTGTTTTGGCTTTTCCGCAGCTCTAGAATAAAGTTATTGTCCAGCTAAAGTTAGTTTTGATTGATTCACGTCCGTCGCAACGATCATTAGTTATAAACTTAGGGGCCGCTAACACTACACCGTTCTAACAGAAAACCATCAATGTGATCCGGCCGCTCATTTGCACAAAACAGTGCCTAGTATAGCTCGAGAACGCAAACCATGAAATAGACTTCAAGGTACAAGCCTTGAAAAATGTATAATACTGAATTTTTTATCGCTTCCGCGTGAACCGGAATTATACCGACAACGTTTGATCTGTACAGTGGTAAAGGGAAGGGAAGGAGGCCTTCACAGGGGAGAGACTAGTTGACTCTTCAGGACTGCGTTGTCGTCATGTCCAGGTGCAGGTCCTTCATCAGATCCAGATACGGCCTGGATCCGGCGGACTGCGGAAAACCTCGGGATAAACAGAGAGACTAATATTAGCATAGACGGCATCCTTCGTATGATGTAACAAGTACATCAGGATTTATGGGAAGTGTTCCCGATTCCGGCTGACCTAATCTATGCAGCCTAACATTGATTTATAGAAGTTTATAATGTGTTATGTGTATGCTAGGTCAAAGAGATGTGTTTTTAGTCTAGATTTGAATTGACATAGTGTGTCTGCTTCCCAGACTATGTAAGGAAGACTGACTGTTCCAAAGTTTTGGTGCTAAATAGGAAAAGGATCTACCGCCTGCAGTCGATTTTGATATTCTAGGTATTGTCAACTGATGTCCGTAATTTTGAGATCGCAATAGACGTGACAGACTATAATGCGTTAAGAGCTCGCTCAAGTACTGGGGAGCTAAACCATTTAGTGCTTTGTAAGTAATCAGCAATATTTAAAAATGTATACGATGTTTAATAGGGAGCCAATGCAGTGTTAACAGAACCGGGCTGATATGGTCATACTTCCTGGTTCTGGTAAGAACTCGAGCTGCAGCGTTTTGGACCAGCTGTAGTTTGTTTATTAAGCGTGCAGGGCAACCACCCATAGTAACATTACAATAATCTAGCCTTGATATCATGAACGCATGAACTAACTGTTCAAACTAACATTTGTCATTGAGAGCATATGACGTAATTTAGATATATTTTTTTTAAATAATGTTGTGGTCAATGGTATCAAATGCAGCACTAAGAACGAGTAACACTATAGAGAGATACAACCACGATCAGATGATAAGAGCAAATCATTTGTGACTCTGATGAGAGCTGTCTCAGTACTATGGTATGGTTTAAATCCTGACTGAAAATCCTTGCAGATACCATTTCTTTCTAAAAAGGAACATAGTTGTGAGGATACTGCCTTTTCTAGTATCTTTGACAGAAAAGGTAGATTCGAGATCGGCCTGTGATATTCAAGACTCACTAGGAGTTCGTAGGCCAGCTCTCTTACAGTTAAAAAGATCACAGCAATTATACCCTTCACCAAGGTCTAAGCTACGTCATTGCTTCAGGTTGAATGATTCTGATTGGCTAAGAAATAGATAAACACACATTTTCCACACATAAACAGATAGACTAAAGTATATCTCCATCGATTATGCAGCTGACACTCAGACCCTGAAGCTAGGCACATCGTGACCTTCCAGGTCGCAGATCTGGGTTACTGGGCGCCAACCTGTCGAAGAAAACAAACCAGTCCATCTCCATTAATGCCACTTGTTCCTTAACCCTGTAACCAAGAAGACTAACACACGCACACCGACACACAGCTTC